ACTTACGGTTCCGAAGTTAGAGCTGATTAAATAATTCACGCCTATGGGAGGTGCCACGCCCTTTTCCAATACCACCAATTTTTTCCCATAAGTATGGAATTAATTTTATTTATCTCGACAGCAAGTTCCAATGCTCTACCACATATATTTCAAGAGATATACAACATGAAAATTTTTGTTAGTATAGGAGGTGCCACGCCCTCTTTTCCAGTACTGCCCATTTTTCTCTTTGCCTATAACCTTCCCGGGGTAAAAACAAATTAGGGTGCAAAGTTTGGTGCGATTCCGTGCCGCGATTCAGAAGTTATAAGGTAATAAACAAACAGACATTCACATTTATATATATAGATTAGCAAAAATTTTAAAACATATAATTTTGTTTACTTGTCGGGCAATATTTTTTTCATAGGGATATACACTGGATTCTTGGCTAAAAACTTTTGTGGTAAAACTGTCCCTTCTTTGCTATTTAAAATCAAAGAGTAAGCTCCTTCAATAGGGATTTCCAGCAGAAATGATAAACGTCTAGCTATTAAGAGAATCAATCCTCAAATAATAAAAAAAAAATAGGTCTGACCTTTAATAAGGTAAGAATTACGTAACTATCTGAGATTCAAATGCCAATAAAAAACAGGGTGCTTTTTTTAAATAACAATATTCTGAACTGATTCGGCTGGCAGCCACGACCTTGAAATCAGAATTTTGTTCAAAATTTTCATTCCTGGAAAATAATAATTTATTTTTCATATCCACCTATTTAGCTCGCTATAAGCACATATTTTTCAAACCCGCCGCAGAAGAAAGTATTAAAAATTAGTTACAGAAATTAAATCGAAAAACGTTGATGAAGTTACAGATTCCTCAAATTCGACACAGCCAAAGTACTGAGAATGCAGAATTCTTTTTAAAAACTTANAGTACTGCCCATTTTTCTCTTTGCCTATAACCTTCCCGGGGTAAAAACAAATTAGGGTGCAAAGTTTGGTGCGATTCCGTGCCGCGATTCAGAAGTTATAAGGTAATAAACAAACAGACATTCACATTTATATATATAGATTAGCAAAAATTTTAAAACATATAATTTTGTTTACTTGTCGGGCAATATTTTTTTCATAGGGATATACACTGGATTCTTGGCTAAAAACTTTTGTGGTAAAACTGTCCCTTCTTTGCTATTTAAAATCAAAGAGTAAGCTCCTTCAATAGGGATTTCCAGCAGAAATGATAAACGTCTAGCTATTAAGAGAATCAATCCTCAAATAATAAAAAAAAAATAGGTCTGACCTTTAATAAGGTAAGAATTACGTAACTATCTGAGATTCAAATGCCAATAAAAAACAGGGTGCTTTTTTTAAATAACAATATTCTGAACTGATTCGGCTGGCAGCCACGACCTTGAAATCAGAATTTTGTTCAAAATTTTCATTCCTGGAAAATAATAATTTATTTTTCATATCCACCTATTTAGCTCGCTATAAGCACATATTTTTCAAACCCGCCGCAGAAGAAAGTATTAAAAATTAGTTACAGAAATTAAATCGAAAAACGTTGATGAAGTTACAGATTCCTCAAATTCGACACAGCCAAAGTACTGAGAATGCAGAATTCTTTTTAAAAACTTAAGAAAACCTGACACATCTGGTTTGGCCTCGCCATTATGCTAGATTCTAATCGTTTCTTAAAAATACTTGACATCCGCATTCGCATCCGCGGATGTTAGCTGTTAGATATTCGCATCCGCATTCGCATCCGCGGATGTCTAAAATTCCACATTCGCAACATCCCCGGTTATTACCTGCTTGCCATTTCTTTGTTGAAATTCGGTATCTGTTATCTTGTTATAGGGATGCCAGTGGCAAAAATACATCGATGTATTTCTTTGATTCGATGCATCGAAATGTACATCGATATTTTTCGATACATCGGAGGGCATACATCGAAGTATCGATTTGCATAGGATTTTTCAAAAAAATAAAAAATTTACTCTTACATATATTTAATTAGCAAAATTGTACACAATTCCACATAACTTACTATAACTAAGCTAATTATGTTTCCAACAGACTGCTGAATCAGGTCAACAACTTTTTCATAAATTTATAATTTTTATATAAAAAATATGTTTTAGTTTTTTATAAAAACGTTTGTTTATCTGATTTTTGACCTGATTCAAGAGCCCGTTAGTAACATAATTAGCTCAGCTATAACTGAAAATTTGTACAATTTTGCTAACTAAATATATATTTAAGTGAAAAATTTATTTTTATGAGTACTTTACAAACTCATTATTGTAATACACTAAACGCCTTTCAATATTATTTAAGAGAATCTCATATGAATTTCAGAAAACACGCTTGCATTTCATATAATACGTATGCATATACATATATGTGTATAAATACTTATGTAGAATTAATAAGAAATTGATACAAGGTAATACAGTTTTATGTTTCCCAGTATTTTTTATCAATGCTTTGCAAGAACAATAGTTTGTTAAGTCTATATCCTTCTAATCTATTCCTTTGCTGAGTAACGATTTGACCGGCTTGTGAAAAAAGTCGTTCGGAAGGAACCGAGCTACCAACCAATGTTAAATATTTAAAAACCACTTTGTATAATGTANTAAGCTCCTTCAATAGGGATTTCCAGCAGAAATGATAAACGTCTAGCTATTAAGAGAATCAATCCTCAAATAATAAAAAAAAAATAGGTCTGACCTTTAATAAGGTAAGAATTACGTAACTATCTGAGATTCAAATGCCAATAAAAAACAGGGTGCTTTTTTTAAATAACAATATTCTGAACTGATTCGGCTGGCAGCCACGACCTTGAAATCAGAATTTTGTTCAAAATTTTCATTCCTGGAAAATAATAATTTATTTTTCATATCCACCTATTTAGCTCGCTATAAGCACATATTTTTCAAACCCGCCGCAGAAGAAAGTATTAAAAATTAGTTACAGAAATTAAATCGAAAAACGTTGATGAAGTTACAGATTCCTCAAATTCGACACAGCCAAAGTACTGAGAATGCAGAATTCTTTTTAAAAACTTAAGAAAACCTGACACATCTGGTTTGGCCTCGCCATTATGCTAGATTCTAATCGTTTCTTAAAAATACTTGACATCCGCATTCGCATCCGCGGATGTTAGCTGTTAGATATTCGCATCCGCATTCGCATCCGCGGATGTCTAAAATTCCACATTCGCAACATCCCCGGTTATTACCTGCTTGCCATTTCTTTGTTGAAATTCGGTATCTGTTATCTTGTTATAGGGATGCCAGTGGCAAAAATACATCGATGTATTTCTTTGATTCGATGCATCGAAATGTACATCGATATTTTTCGATACATCGGAGGGCATACATCGAAGTATCGATTTGCATAGGATTTTTCAAAAAAATAAAAAATTTACTCTTACATATATTTAATTAGCAAAATTGTACACAATTCCACATAACTTACTATAACTAAGCTAATTATGTTTCCAACAGACTGCTGAATCAGGTCAACAACTTTTTCATAAATTTATAATTTTTATATAAAAAATATGTTTTAGTTTTTTAGTTTTGTTTATCTGATTTTTGACCTGATTCAAGAGCCCGTTAGTAACATAATTAGCTCAGCTATAACTGAAAATTTGTACAATTTTGCTAACTAAATATATATTTAAGTGAAAAATTTATTTTTATGAGNTTTTTCATAAATTTATAATTTTTATATAAAAAATATGTTTTAGTTTTTTAGTTTTGTTTATCTGATTTTTGACCTGATTCAAGAGCCCGTTAGTAACATAATTAGCTCAGCTATAACTGAAAATTTGTACAATTTTGCTAACTAAATATATATTTAAGTGAAAAATTTATTTTTATGAGTACTTTACAAACTCATTATTGTAATACACTAAACGCCTTTCAATATTATTTAAGAGAATCTCATATGAATTTCAGAAAACACGCTTGCATTTCATATAATACGTATGCATATACATATATGTGTATAAATACTTATGTAGAATTAATAAGAAATTGATACAAGGTAATACAGTTTTATGTTTCCCAGTATTTTTTATCAATGCTTTGCAAGAACAATAGTTTGTTAAGTCTATATCCTTCTAATCTATTCCTTTGCTGAGTAACGATTTGACCGGCTTGTGAAAAAAGTCGTTCGGAAGGAACCGAGCTACCAACCAATGTTAAATATTTAAAAACCACTTTGTATAATGTAGGGAACTGTATTTTAATGTCTCTCCAGATTTCTAGGGGGTTTTCGTTTAGCCTGCTTACAGAAGTTTTTAAGTATACCGATAGTTGATCCGAAAGGTTTTCATTTGCCTTTGTCGACTTCCAACTGTGGTGTACCATTTCTTGGTGGTCACTCCAAAGTGAGAAGCTGCTTTCACTTTTATCGAACATACTAGAGTCGGAATCGGCGATCTCCTCGGCACTTGTGATGTTGCTGACCATCGCCTTAATTTTTTGAATAGCAACAGAGCATGCAAGGGGGTCAACAAAATTTAGTTTTTTGAACCGTGGGTCCAGAACAGTTGCTATTGCAAGTGGAGTAACCTTAAAAATTAGAAAAGTAAATAAGAAAAATATAAAAACAATGAAAAAAAACATTACCAGCTCAAGTGACCCCATCCTTTTATTAATTTCTCTCAAGAGGTCTTGCTGCATTGATCTAGCTATCGGATCAGCCGGTGAAATGGCTTTAATTTTGCGTGTCATGCAGGACACCAACGGTATTATTTTACTTGCAGTGCAATATTTATCACCAGATATTTCTTTGGTGGCTGCTTCTAGTGGACGAAGTAACTGCAGAAAACTTGCAGCCGTAGACAGCTCGCATCCGCTCAGAATAGGTGGTGCATTATTGTGCTGTATGAGTATATCGCTAACAACAGACTTCAGTTCCAAAAAACGCTCCACCATATAAAATGTACTGTTCCACCGAGTTGCGATGTCTTGAATCAGTTTTGTTTGCTGAGTTGTCGCCTTTCGTAATTGGTCGCTGACAATACAACTTTGCTTAAAAAACGTGACAATTTGTTTAATTTTAGAAATAATTTTGCTTGCTGATTCGGACTGGATTGCTGGTTGCGCCACCAAATTCAAAATATGCGCAATGCATGGGATATGCTTAACTTTCCCGAACGATATGTCAATTGCTTTGACCATATTCGCCACATTGTCTGTTATAACAGCTGATACCCGCTCTTTTTCAATTTGCCATTCTGCGCATTCTTCAGAATTTTTTGAATTGCAATGTAATTCGGATCGAGTGGAGAACTCGTTAAGAAGGTTGTCCGCACTTCGGCTTCCTTCCACCAATTTTTTTTTTCCAATTTTGCAATCTTGGAAAAATTGTAAACATCGAGTTTTATGACATGGAATCCAGTTTCGCCCGGCGATGTCCATTGTACAAATTTGTCTTGAGTCCCTCTCGCAATAGATTGCGAGATTGACCCAATGTTCGATGGAGTACTCGATACTGGGAGAAGTTCGTCTAGAAAATCTTCGCCCAACACCTTCTCTTGCCTTCCATCGTTCAATGATGGAACAACGGCATGAGTAGTTGTGATAGGTACAGTCGTGGATGACATGATAGTGTTCTTCGTGGTCGCAAATGATGAACACGGCTCCTCGATGTTTTTCTCGTAAATCTGAATAATCTTCTCTACTAAAATGTTCGGTAAAGGCTTTTTCATAAATCTCATGTATAATTCTTCTTTTTGGCACAAGTTTGCGAAAGCCTTGAATGAAAACTTCTTTGATTCGGTCGAATTCACTTTCATTTTTTTCAATATACTCAACATCAATTTCTGTATTATTATTACTTGACGCTTCATTTCTAGATTTCTTTCTTTTACATAAATTCTTTCCACTTTCATTAATACATCTATAATTATTTTCATAAACATTGAAGTCCATATTAACTCTATTAAATCTATTAGCAACATTGCTTTGTTGTTGTTGCTGTTGTTGCTGCACCCAGCTTTCTGTTCTTGATCCTCCTTCTCCACTACTAATTCCTGAGAGGACGGCATCAATGGATCCTCTGATAATTTCTGACATTCTGGTATTATCACTGCAGCAGCTTTTCTCATCTGAATTTCTTGACCCGGAGGAATTTCCTGACAATCGTCGTCGCTGTCCTCTTTTTCGCTGCTGGAATATTGTCTTTTGGGAGTTGGTGCTTTGGGCTCGTTTTCGTCCTCGGACGATGAAGAACTCATCATCATTCGTGAATGATCCTCTATCATATCCTCCGATTGCAATTGATTCTTGCGTCTCAATGCCTCCTTTGATGATTTCATTGTTCGAACCATTTTCTATTGAATAACACTGGTCTACAAATTTCAACTTTTTTTCTGCGAATAAGACGGGACCTGGTGTTTCTGAACGGATTTTTCGTGCTGAACACGAATCCGGGGTCAAAAATGTCCCATCACGTCACGTTTTCGAGAAAAAAGGGGTTGAAACCCCTAAAAACAGCGTTTTTGGCCATTTTCGAAAAATTATAGAGCTGAACCCTGACGTGGTACAAATTTTGCATATATCAGAAATTAAAGGCTAAACCGTGCCCTTTCGAATGAGCCCTATGCCGAATTGATCGCGTGCACCCTTAAAGCAGGGGGTGTATTTGTGTTTAGGGGTGCAGGAAAAATTGATCACAGAAAGAATTTAATCTTAAACGATCATAGAAAATTAATAATGCCAAGGTTTTAACTATATTAAAAGTCGCTGATTACGAATCTGCAGTTAGATTTTAAAAATTTAAGATGACGGGTCGAATATGGTGGATATAAAAATTGGACTCCTAGACACAAATACACCCCCTGATCTAAGGGTGCATGCGATTAATTCGGCATAGGGCTCATTCGAAAGGGCACGATTTAGCCTTTAATTTCTGACATATACAAAGTTTGTAGCACGTCAGGGTTCAGCTCTACAATTTTTCAAAAATGGCCAAAAACGCTGTTTTTAGGGGTTTCAACCCCTTTTTTCTCGAAAACGTGACGTGATGGGAAGTTTTGGACCCCAGATTCGTGTTCAGCACGAAAAATCCGTTCGGAAACACCAGGTCCCGTCTTATTCGCAAAACCCTTGTAGACCAGTGTAATTATATGAGCACGTCGATACTGAATAATTATATGAATTCGATTTTATAGAACTTCCGTAAACCGTATTAAACGTTCCACTATCAAGTTCGACTAAGAATGACATTTACATGAACTTGCTATAAACTTATATTTATATGAAAAATATTTGTTGATAACCGTTTCAAATATCGTATGGTAAAGATCTCCAATAACACAACCACCTCCACCACCACGTGTCGTGTGTGAATGTGTGAACGCAAACGCAGGGCCTAACAGGCTAACGGGCTTCGCCCATGTTTAAGCCATTGTTAATGACCCTGCGTTTGCGTTCACACATTCACACACGACACGTGGTGGTGGAGGTGGTGGTGGTAATATACTCTGATGTGTGGCGTTCGTCTAATTTATAAACACCTAACGTTACTGAGTGAAACTCAATATCAATACCAAAATGCACCGTCACTCCAAGGTAGCTTTTCATGCTCATGGTTTCCGACCATATGTCGGTGGTAAGGGTAACGTTTTCCATTAAAAGTAGCTTAGAACGAACAATTTTTGAAAGTTCTTCATACTTTCCGTCGACCCAAGTCGTAAGTGTAGTTCTACCTATAAGCAAAAAAGTAGTGCACTTAGTTTAATCAGAAACAATAACATCCTCTTACATTTGTTAAATACATATAAACAGTTTTTTCGGAAGAGCTAAACTCTAAAACTATTGTACTTACACGGCAGTTTGTAACGCGGCACTACTTGCTTTACAAAGTATCTGAATCCACAATTTTCCACGATGGAAAATGGCTGGTTGTCTTTGCACACCATGTATGCCAGAGCTTTGTTAATTCTCTCTGTTCTGAAGCCACTTGAACCCAACGCATTTACACCATCAGAGCTAGACACAATTGATTGTTGCGCTTGTGGCCGAGCTGGCAATGCAAGTGAAATATTCAAAGCACTAGGAGCTACCGTCGATGGAGTCGGAGCTGCTTCTTTTTCGTTTGGCGTCGGCTCCATTTCTTTTGTAGATGTTGACAAATCCTTCGTAAATTTTAACATGTCATCTTTCTTACATAGAGTAAGATAAGTTGCTTTGTGGACGTTTCTTATATGTCCCATTAAGTTTGACGTATTTCCGGCGCTCTTTATATTCTTTTTGCACAAATTGCAACTCGCGTTGTTTTCGCTGCGTTTCTCAAAATATCTCCAAACCACACTTTTTGGAGCCATTGCAATTTTTTGTAACGAATGTTTTATTATTAAATAAAACGCGTTTTGTTTTTAGCTGCGACTTAGCATGTCGCATAACAAAATCTGTGTTGTTCTTTATTGGAATCATCTTATTTATACTCTAACATCTTATGTACTACTTATTTACTACAATACATATTTACTTAAAATTTTTACTGACTGAATCTCTCGCTTGCACATATGAGCATGCATTCATATGTGCCTAGCTCAAAGCATAGCTCAGTGAAGTCACCAACACACACACACCCATTTCTAATGTGGAGCTACAAGCAATGTATCCACAGACATATCTACATGTACCAAGCATGAAGGTGCTAGCAGCGCAGTCGTACATATTTCATACATACATAGAGCTAGCGCATGCACCAGATATATGTGCCTGTGTTACGAACGAGAATGTATGCTGCAAATAAACCAATGATGATACAATTGCCCGTCGAAGATTTGGAACTTTGTGAGTCTGTGATTGAGGAGAAATGAAAGTACGAAGAAAAAAAATGTTAAGGAATTACTTGCAGTTGTATCAAAGACATAACTTAGAGTACGCAGATGGGAACTTTGTACTTAGTCATAACACAGGCGTGTGGCTTTGTTGTTGTTAGTGACTTATTCTGATATACTACACCTCCTTTCCTAAAAAAAATCGTGAATACATATGAACGATTTTACAACTGTAATGCAGTTGAGTGGATTTATTTTCTTTTGTATATTTCATTTGATACTTTTGATGTTTTTTGTCGTTTGTTGTTTGTTTACAAAATTTTTCTTGTGATACAATGTTTTCGGTTTTGTTTGTTTTATTTCAAGTGGATTATAATTCATATGTTTGTTTACTTGTTAATTTCAGATTTGTTTTTAGATTTTTTTTTTGAATATTTTGTATAGATAAGTGTCGGGTTTTTGTTTATGATACTAATAACTAACATATTTTGTGTACAAAAATATTTCTTTATTTATGGTCATAAAACTTTAAGTGTGAAATTTATTAATAAGTAAAATTTATGAGTAATTAAAATTTAAGTGAATTTACTCAAATAGCTTAAGCCTATTTTTATGTACTATGATCTTCTTACTCTTATCGATTAATTTTATATTTTCTACATTATATGGAGTTAAAGAATAATTATTTTTCATATCAATATTTACTACTCTATAGGGCCCTTTGTATCTATTATCTAACTTATGACCTGCTTCATTTTTAACTAATACTAAATCTCCTAATTTTATTTCCTTATATTGAAGATTTTTATCATAATAAACCTTTTGTCTCTCCTTAGCTTCTTTTACCAATATGTGAGCTCTTTGTTGAGCTACTTGTAATCTATATTTTATTTCTTTCTCATAGGCCTCATAGTTATAAACTGGGCTAATTGTATTTTCTTTTAAAAATTCGTAAGTCAGAGGTATTTTTCCAAAAACTAACTCGTATGGGCAATAACCATGAACCGTAGATGGTGTTGTATTGTAACAGTATGCAAAATACTTGATATACTCATCCCAATCATCTTTGTTAATGGATATGTAAGAACGAATGTATTCATTAAAGGTTCTGTGGCTACGTTCAACGGTGCCCAAAGTTTGATGGTGATATGGGGTAGAAGTCTTGTGTTCAATTTTTAAAAGTTTACACAATTCCTCAAATACGTTGTTTTTGTATTCAGTCCCCATATTAGTTATGATGGTCTTCATACAACCATATACCAAAATAAAGTTTTCAAAAATGGCTTTTGCCACCGTTTTCGCGTGTTTGCTCGCAATTGGAATTGCTATCAGATACTTTGTCAGATCACACACTATGGTAACCGCATACTCATTCCCACATACCGATACGGGCAACGGTCCAATTGTATCAATTTGCACCGTATCGAAGGCTTTTGTGGGAGTTTCCGTTATCACCATTGGTTATTTTAAATTTTTATTTACTTTATTTTTGCTGCATTCCATGCATTTTTTAATGTGATTTTTTATATCATTTTTCATGTTTTTCCAATAATATTTTTGTTTTATTTTATTAGTTGTTCGATTGATTCCTGGGTGGCCACCAGTAACAGGATCATCATGATACTTTTTCAATAAATTTTTAATTGTATCTTTATCAGTCACATGCATAACCTCCGGAGTTAATGCAATTGTTAAGTTTTTGAGAACTTTGGTACCAATTTCTTTAAATGTGCTTACTCGAGTATAATTATTCTTGAACAATTTGTCTCCTAAGGACAACTGTATTTTATTTATTTTCAAACTGTCGGCTTC